TTCATAATTAATAAAAAGACGAAGGGTGTGGACAGGTAAACAAAGATGTAAGTTACTTAACGATATTGATAATAGAAGAATTATATCTTTAACCCAACCCACAGTAGCAGAACGGAATAGAATCAATGTGCTCCTAATTGGTTCGTTTATGGTTTAAGAGCTGTAATATAAAGTTTAGATATGAGACCCATTTGTCAAAAGCAGTGGCAGGCAGGGTTGGTTGACTCCCTTGGAGTGGGGAGTGTGCCAGACTTTGTCACTTGCACGATGGGGGTTATCTTACTTCCCTCTTCAGCTTTGTTAAGAATACGGCTGTCAGGTAAGTTTTACTCCTCCCACAGTTACCTTCCGACGATAGAAAGAGGGTGGACCAAATAGCGCACTGTAACAGTAGTAACTATAATTATTAATTTGTAATGCTGACCGATGTGGTCGCACCTGTCACCCTGTCGCTGAAGAGATGCATTGCAGTTGCTACTGGATTGAGTTCTAACACTTTTTTTTTTTAATACTAACTACTTGATTCAATTTATTTATTTTTAATCTTACAAATTTTTTCCATTTGAATGCAATATAACGTAAGATAAAATTAAATGAGCTATATCCGATTTCAACTTTGTATAAAAGGATTTAAGTTTTGAAAGAATTTAAAGTTTGTAAATTATTATACAGTATATCATATACATTGCAGTAAATGGAATTAAATGTTTCTATATGCGGAACTATGTTTAAATCCTCAAAATGTTCGGAATTTAATTTTAGATTATTAGAAAATTTAATTCTGCTGTAATTTTCGGGAAATAATTACGGATAAAGGTCGGGATTGATGTTATGAATTCGTGATTCTGTTTAGCGTATGATTAAAGTGAATAATTTAACAAATGTACAGGTGCAGTATCAAAGTTTAGAAACCTTTTGAGATGTATTGAAAAGCAATTTACGTTGTAGCTAATAAATGGAGACATATTCCCTCAAAGCCGTCTAGCAATGCTTTTCAATCACTCGAGGATCTGTCTCTCTATCCTTTTTTCAGCTTTAATAAAAACAGAAAAAATGAAAAATTGAAGTGGGTGAAATCCGAAAATCTTATCATATCCAGAAAAAGATCTTTCAAACAGCGAAAAGCATCGAATCTCACAAGTCGATATCATTCTGGATAGATAGATATCATTCAGGTCTTTTCCTAAAAAGCCTTCGGAACTCCTTTATGTCCCATGTGACGCTAGCAAATAAGCATCCCACAACCAGAAAAAAAGACACCCAAGGAAAAGGAAAATATTCACAGAAACATCTGAAGCTATTCACGACTCGCAGTCGATTCACAATTCTCTTCCCGGAAGAGTTGTGTAGCGTCTGAGAAGAATAGCGGCATACAAAAGGATAGATGGCATTTTTGAAGGAAAATATTGCCCAAAACTATGATTTTTAGGTACGCACTCGTAGGCGATTGATCCGGTAACACGATAGACAAGATTTTAGAATTCAAGATAGAATTAAAGCGAAAGAACTGTCAGTTAGCGAATGTACATTCTGATATATCGCCTCTGCGCCAGTTCTCTATTTGAAGTCATTCACATCCAATATTGGAAAGCTGCCGATTTACACAAGAATTTCGAAGAGATTGGTATTTCCGGTAATAAAATTCCACATTTAAAAGGAACTATATACATATAGTTACATAGGCTTATCGATTCCATTTCGGTCTATAGCGCTATTTAGATTAGTACTGTTGAAGAATTTAAAAATGTGCATTTTTTAAACACAAGTAAACATTCCATTTCTGTAAAATTTCGTGTTATTTTACAATTTACTAGAGTCATAAAAACACACACAGATGAATATATATTTAGTTTGAAAAATGTACTTAGATGCTGAAAAAATAAAATAAAATAATCTGTGTATGATGCCACTTTATCGTGTTTATTAATTATAAACTTTCTCGTGTAATTTGTTATAAGAAAAAAGCATTTACGCTTTCATTAGTACAGTGGACTTATCTTTCAGTAGCGAACCTATTTTTGAAAAGATATATAGCTAACGAATTTTCGCTTCATTACATCGTACTAAATTTAAACTCCTATAACAAAAAAGTTTTTATCTGTTAGAGTTTAATCTAAGAATAGAACGGGGGGAGTGTTCTTCGTTAGCGTTCTAAGGTTTGTTTAAATCACAGATGTCCTTTGTTCTGAGCCTATTGTTCCAAGAACGGATGTCGTTTTTCCCCTTATAATGTTTTTATTACTACTTTTCGCTACCCTGAGGCAACTAGAACATTCCACGTATTCATTTGTGTATTAATATACCAGTCAATAATGTTTTAAACATTTGTAAATCCTTTCATTGTTTAAAGTTTGCAATGATAGTCTATATGCATTAGACTTACTGTCGTAATTTTTTACTTTTTCGGTCTTTTTATTTATATATAACTTATTAAGATATTTTTAATTATGAAATAGTCATTTATTTCTAAAAATGAACTTATTTTTATTATAAAAGTGAGATAAAAATCAGCGTGAAATTTCTATAAGAAAAGATGATTCCTTTTGAAGTAATAAAGTTGTCAGCTATTAATCTTCCTCTTGGATGCAAATATATATTCAGTATGCTTTTTTTCCTCTTGTCATTCACGTGTTTTCTGAATTTTTTTAAAAAGATTTTTAGTAGAAGAGATTTTGTTTCATGATTCTAAATATATTTTCAACTTTACAACTCCAGAGAAATCAATTTGTTGAATTTTTTTCTTCCTCTGTTTTTCCTACAAGATTTTTCTTGTTGTTGTTGTTGTTGCATAATAGATGAAGTTTTTATGAAAAAATGCAATGGAAAAATTTAAGCCAATCACGTTTAAAATTCATATCACATTATCATTAATCTGAAATTTGAATTTTTATAAAATTTCATCTTCTATCTTTCCATTTGGGTTTCATATTGATTCTTTCTAAAAATTTATAACTTTGTTTTTGGTGATCTCTTTAATATTTTGCCCTGTTTTTCCCTGCACAGCTGTTCGCTAACACAGCAACATTCGGAATTATTTTTAGGTTTTGCGTGTAAAAACGTAAACCTAGTAGGCCACTGTTTTTATGTATTGGTACTATTAATTAGTTTATATAAATTTTCATTTGTAAATTAAATATTTTTGTCTCACTTGGCGCCATCTGTTGCTGAAATTTAAATATGACTATAAATTAAATGAAAAGTACGAAGAAAAATATAAACATTAAGAAGAGAAAATATTCTGGAATAAACGCACCTGGGAACGTATGATATATTTCCATCTACAATTCCATTTTTATTATTTTTTCTTAGTTTTGTAGACATTTGCCGTGGACAAAGACGAAAGTAAACACTGTTTCTATCCTTTAAATCACTCCCGTCAGGCCGGCAAATATTCTACAGTTCCTTTTTGAAGCCCTAAAGAGTAGGATTGTCGAGATTCGCGTGGCAAATCCCTACTCTCTGTTTCTTCTTGGTTCACAAACTGTTACAAAACCTCCTGACACACTGTCACAGTAGCAGTACTCTAAAGAATGAAAAAAGAAAAAAAACAACAAAATAAGTTCGGTTAGAAACATCTATTAAAACTAAAATCGTCTTCATACATATATTTATAAGATCTACTGATTTAAATGTTAAACGATTTTATTTTTCCGATTGTTTCTCCTTATATATTTTCCTTGTCGACGATTTAATAAATGTCCATTTTTTCTAATTTTTTTTTTAAATACCAATTAATCAGTTTTATTTTAAACTAATTACATTATACTTTATTAATTATAATTCGGTTACTTATAAGAATCATTAAATCTGAACTTATATTTAATTTTAATAAATTAAGTATACTATATATAGTTACAATTTTATATTCTGAGTTTTATAACAGAATTATATACATGTAGCCTAGTTATTTCCTAGAAAAAAATGGTATAAATCTGTTTAATTAAAACTAAACTTAACTGGTTAACTTATTAATATTAATTGTTTTATCAAAAATCATAAATCCTATAGGCTTACTATGAATATTACAATTATCCAGAGCAAGAATCAAAAGTCAAAACAGAAAAATGCCTATGTTTTTTCTTTCCTTCCTGTATGCTTGTGTATAAAAATCTTTATTCCTATTAAAACACGAACTCTAAACCATATTTTAATATGGATTCATCTACTGATTATTCATAATTCATATGAAAATAGAGCCGAGCATCCTTTTTCCTTACGAGTCTCCCCTTTATGTATGTAACTTATACAAAGAAACAGATTCATACTGAACAAATTAAGTACGAATTTCCTGTAAATAATGTAAAATATATTTACATATTTTGAATTATTTGTATTTAATTTAGAATTTTAGAACTTTTAAAATAAGATTTAAATATCGATAGTCTGTAAAAATAGACTGAGTCGTCGGTCATTGGCATTGGTAGAAGCAAATTTTGGAATTGTGGAAGATTCCATTTTCGTGTACAAATACAAATATAATAATGTAACAAATATTCAAAAATCGATTGACTAGAAGAGGTGAAGATTCCGATGCTTCTCCCTGAATATATCTTTACAAAGCTCGATTAACATTGTCGATATGGATTCTAATTCTGTTTAAAATGAAATGTATTTTCTTTTAAATTAAAGCTTCATATTTAATATATATTTTAATTATATTGATTGCGGCATTGTTTCGTTTATTTAAAGAACGTTAAATATTTAAAATTTGACAGTGTGTTCAATTAGTGCTTTCATGTTTAATCATAATGAACTCTCCGCAGAATCGTCACTTATAAATATAACTTAGTTACAGTTATTTTACTTTAATTCTTTAATCTTACTTAGCATTATTTTTTCTTCCAAACAAAATAATAGGTTTTTGAAATTATCAATTTTTCTATAATTCCAAGTTCACATCTTAATTCGTTCCAATCCTGTTTTTACTAGTAAGCATTTTAATTTATTTGACTATAAACTTATATCTGAATTTTGTCATGTTAAATCCACCCAACTGAAAAATTGATAGAGGAATAAATAGGTTCTTTGAAATTGCATTTTTGAAGGCAAACCAACTTAAATCTTTTTCTCCTCTTTTTATAACAAAAAACACAAAACTCCATTTTAGAAAAAAGACGATTTGAAAAAATCGAATACTCAAAACACCGAAAGCAGTACACATTACCATACATCGTGTTTTGTACAGAGAAAACGAGTGTTGAACTTTGCCTTTCGTTTCAACATATCTTCATGCTACATGCACCATTTCTTCGGTCACGTGTCTAATCGATCGTACGTCTCAAGCTGTGACGTCAACTATGACGTAACACCTTTTCTTCTGTTTGCTGTAAGAAAAAAGTCGACGTCGATACCAAGAAATTCTTCAATCGAAACATTGCCATGTGTGGCTTCTCTCACACAAACCTCTTCAGACAAAGAATTTCTATATTTTTTTTGGAATTACTTAAAGCTTAAAGAAAAAATATTTTTTCTTTCCTTCTATTATAAAATCCAAAAGTTTCCACCTTAATAGGGGGCATTAGTTGTATTTCAATTCGTTCTATCAAAGTAACAGACAAACAATTTTAAATTTAACATTATTTATTTATTTATTTTTTAATGTTTTGTATAAATAATCCAAACCATTCCATTTGCTACATTTCTGAAACAAGAAAGATACTGATTTTCTTTTTAAAAAATAAACTTATTTTAAAAGAAAATTTAAATTATTAAAAACAAAATAATTCGTGCTTTTTACATTGCATAAAATTATGTAATTTAACTACATTTAAATAAGATTTTTTTCACCTTATTTTTCAATCGACAAGGAACATCGTGTCAATTTTAAATGAATTAGATTTAAAATGGTATATTATGTATGAATAATTACAGTTCTACGTGTAAAACAGTCTCTTTGAGAATTCTTTTGTTAATTGAATCTGTTAGAGATAAATTGCTTAATTTAACTTCTCCTCCGAGAATTAAATCAAAGAATTATTTATTTTGTTAATCGTTAAATATTAAATTTCTTGTATTTTTATGATTATGAATTGTTTATTTTAATATTATTCATAAATAAATTTATAAAATATATTGATATTAATTTTCCAAGAATATTTTAATTTGGAACACTTACAAGAATTATATGAATTTTAATTTTTTTTTCCTCTCTTTACTTCTTTCTCGACTTTAATTAAGTTCATAAACTCGAGTAATTTGAGCGAGTTGTAAAATACAAGCTGATCCCCATAACTTGCTCCTCTCTCTCTCTTAAATTATGCTGAAAATAAAGTTTTTAAAGATTTGAATTTTCTGACATTTAAATTACTAATGAAAAGAAACGTGAGCTTGAAAATAAGTCTACAAGATTGGAATCTTGTATCATCATAAAGCAATGAAGGTCTTTTTCCTTTCGGAATTAGATATAGGACATCGTGGAAAAGGTTGCTATAGAAACGGAAGGGCATTGTAACACCAATGTATAGGCATTGTAACACCAACCTGCATGAATAACAAATACGACACGGGAACGAAACGGCATTGGACTACATGCAATACTTAATGCATAGCAATTTATTTCGAGTGGGTTGTTTGTTACTCCAAAGTGATGTGATCGGTATAGAAAGTCAGAGTTTGTGAAAATGTATGAAGCTGCTTGCATATTATACAGCACCGTGATAATAATAATATATATCTAACATTTGCTCATTTTTTTTATTCGCTATTTTTAGATTCAGTACGTTTCTCTCTCTATAAAAGAAATAAAATTGTTTTGCGTTTGTTGAATTCTTTAAAAACAAGAATTCTGTATAAAAACTGCTTTCAATTATTCAATTTTTTAAATAGTTTAGAATAACTATTAAATTAAATATGTTTATAAATAAATAAATAAATAAATAAATAATATATATTTAAACTTTATTTCATAATTTAAAAATAAATTTTTATAGATGAATTGAAAGTTTGTTCAATATAAAAAAACAAGAAAAAGTATGTTGTAACAAATGATTTTTCCGCACAGTGATTCTGAAACAGCTAATGGAAGTAGCAATGAACTGTTGTGTGGTTAAGCTTCTACAGTTACCTGCTAAGCATCGCTTTTTTTCCTTCCTCCTCCTTGGTTTACTCAGCCCAATAGTTTATAAAAGTATTGCTATCATTCGATAGTTAAGAAATAATTCTTCCCAGATTAGTATCAGTTAAATTACTATCTTTTTATCTTCAGTTCAGGCTGCAGCCTCCGAAGAGAATATGATTTATGAGTTTTACAAAATGAATATATTCTTTGTTTATATAATTCTTAGTTTTGTTCGTCTGACTTCCGCCCCCGCCTTCCTTAACCGTGTGGGATACCCCAATGATTTATAAGCAAGTAGGGAACGGAATAAGGTCGCGATGGAAAGCCTCTTTCCAGGGGAACTCAACCGATTTGTCATCGTATGTTTCAGCTGACTTGGAAACAGAGGAGAGGTGGAGCTGAATACGTCAGCTCTGCTACTTAACGTTCCATAGCTGGGACTAATTGTCTTTTAGGCTTCCCATATTAAGCCACTTAGCAACCTGATGCCTAATCACAATTTTTTTCCTTTAAAATTCAGGTACAAAAATTCTTGTACTAATCTATTTAATTACATTTAATTACAAGATAAAAATTTATAGTTTGTCAAGAGAATGCATACATTTTTAATTGATAATTTAATTTTCTTTTCCACTTTTTTAATAATAGCGTATCAATTATATTAAACGCTTTAATAAATTAATAGAAAAATATATGATTACATTAATTCGCATTTTTTTAAATAGTTAATTTTTCACGGTTAAGTAGCGTGACGGATATACAAATCATATTATATAAATTATAGTTTGTTAAAAGTGTTATTTTTATTATTTATAATTTATCTAAAAGTTACTTTTAGATAAATTATAAATAGTTAGTTTGGCATGTTTCACTAAAAATAACTAGTTTTATCAAGAGAATTGTCATAACAAATAATTATGAAATAAATAGAAAATTTTCTTATAGAATACATTCGTATAAAATAAATTTGAAGTTTTATAAATTAAGAAAAAGGTCTTTATGAAATTATGACAGGTGATTTACCTAGAAAAAGACTAGTGAAAAGAACTCGGCTTTTGTTAGAAATGACATTGTGCTTAGCTGTATTGCAAGTGACGTAGAAGTACCAACCCTGATTGGTGAATACGATGATAGACATTTCAACAAAGAACGTATGTCACCTATTTAAAGAGAATAATAAGTTATAAAAGGGAAAGAGACTAATTATTTACTATTCTCTTTAATTTAGTCGGAAAGAAGGTTTTGTTCAGTTTTGTACATGGTCAGTGAGTTGTGTGATTTAGTTGAAAATTAAAAAAAAAAAAGAAAAAGAAAAAAAAGAGCATTATAGTGGTAGTCGCAGACACAAAAGACACTATAAATTGCCAATTTATCCTGATGATACGAGTAAGAAAAAGGGATTCGAAGTTTTATTTTTAAAATCAAAAGAATCAATTCTTAAATCAGTACTTTTATCTTAATTAAATTTTAAATAATAAACCATATCTTCAATTATTAAATAATTTAATTTTCATGATTTATTTGTTTTATAACTTAATTTTTTAACGACCTGCTTCATGTCATATCTTTACATTGACGTGCCTTCCATTAATATTTTAAAAGCTTATTAAAAACACAGAATAAATTATTATCACATGGCAGATCTAATCAAATTATACGAAGGTGAAAATATATTAATATAAATTTAAAGTCTGTATATAAGCTTGCTATTATTTTATTTACAGATATTTATTAGATATTTGTTATGACAAAACATCTAATTGAATTTAGTTTAATTATAAATAAACAAATTTTAAAGATGCAAAAAATGATATGTTTATTCGATATCATACAGTAAGTTTTATTTTATATTGAAATTTTAAAGTCTGAACGGTACAGTTTTTTTTTATATTTTATTGTTTACATCAATCCTATATAATCTACTATCCTAGATACAGTACACATCTCATACAACGTTGTTCCCATAGCAACGATTTCTCAGGAGAGTCATAATGGCATCCAGCAGGCATGATTGTCTGGCGGTGCTTCCTCATTGTCAACAATGATAGTATTACCACCATTTGCTAAGCAGCGTAAATGGCGAATGAATAGATATTGTAAACTAAATGATGTTTCTATAAATTGCACTTTAAGTTTAAATGCCTTTATTTCCTTATTATTACGCTTTTCTTCGTTGTAGGGCTTATAAATTTCATATCAATATCTAAAGAATTTTTTAAATAAGTCACAAAAATATTTTTATACGCAGCTTTTTAAGTAAGCATTTATTCATCACGTAATATGTCAACGACTTCCCTAAGGATAGTAAAAGAAATACAAAACATTACCGTATTACCCACTGACAGGGTTTTTTTTCTGTGGGTAAAAGATTAAGTGTTAAAAGATCGTAATAAATCTTTGATCAAGTGATAGTTGTATCTAATTTATGGCACAAAAACTCTAGTAATTATTTAAAGATTTAGAAATATTAACTAAATTTCTAATTTCGAAATAAAATTACATATTGGGATTATATATCTACATCTTTTGTCAAAGAAAGGTGTCTTGGCATCTATTCATGTCACAGAAGAGGCGGTTCTTTGCACACATCTACAAAATTTACATGCAATGAATAATTCAGTTAATTACTGCTTCATGTTATTAAGTTCAGTTCATTTGTTAGCTACTTTAAACGATAGAGAAGATAGAACAGAGTAATTAAAATGATTCAACTATCTTCCCATAGAGACCAGAACAAGAAAAATGCGTTTTTTCCTTCCGTTAAAAATTTTATTAGAAAATCCAATAGAAATGCAGACTTGTAATAATCTTGTTTTGAAAATGTTAAGCGATTCCTCTTTTTGTCACTTTTAATCAATTAGAATTAAACTCGTTTTAATTATTTTTTTAAAAAAATTATATCGGACTCAGTGCCGAGAATTAATTTAACTAGTTTAATATGAAAATTTTCATTTGCCTAAATTAGGTTTAGGTAACTTCTGTATTTAAAATTTCAAACACTGTCACTAACTTTTAATGGAAACTGAAAATATCTATCTAAATTCATTTATCCCTAACAAGTTCAAACAAATCGGTATAGATGAAAGGGTTTTTAATTATCAATGATGCGAGATTTGACTAAAAGATTAATTTTTCAATCAAATCTAAATAAACCCGAATTGGGATATTGCATGTCTCATAGATTCAACGCCATTGTAAATTGTAAAATTCAAATGCTGGGAAAATATTTCTATATCTGATATAAAACGAAAAATATTTGATAAATATATGATCCGTTAGAAATGTTTTCGCAATTCTCAAAATGCATACTGCCAATATAAATTGCAATCTAAAAGAAATATATGACGCGCGCGCATACACACACACACGCACACACACTGTACCTATATGTCATATATAAGAAATGCAAATATCTTATTTTTATCGTAAAAACATTACTGTAATAAAAATAGAAAAATTCTCTTCAAACAAAAATTCCCTTCAACCAATCCTACCTTAGAATCGACTCGTTATATAAACGGAAGTGATATTTGTCTCGCTCTCACTCTACAACTTCCGGTGACGTCATGGATCTCGGTAACGAGTTTTGCCGCCGGGAAAGAAATGACGATGTCGATATGACGTCATCAGACTCTTTTCCATTGTTTTGGCTTTGGGCAACGTTCTTATGTTTCAATCAAGAACTAGATTCGATGTTTGAGGATGGATAACGAATCTTTTCCGTTGTTAACAGTCCGCTGCTGATTGCTAAAAAAGAAAAAAAAAACTCTAGGTACACCGTAAACATATGTAAACTAACAATATTAAAATTAAATAAACTCTACTTTGTTTATTCAGGTAATATAAATTTTATTAAATAATTTTATTTCTGCATTCATTGACTAACAGTAGCGAATTTAAATTTGCGTATTTGTATACGACAAATAGACTATGCATTTACAATAATAAAAATACAATATTTATATATTATTCAAAGTTAAATTCTTAATTGTTTTTACTATAAATACGAATATATATATTATATATATTTGATTAATTACATTTTTATTTTCGGATTTATTTTTCCAGTCGAGCCATCAAAACAAACCAAGACCTTCTCCCTACTACACCACTATCATCGTTATTTCGCAATGATTTTTGGGGAACTCCTCTCGGCCATACTGGATCTCACAAATCATACAGACCACTATGTGTTCTCTCATTTCGTTTAAACTATTGGTTTGGAGGCTTGGACCCTTGGGGATATCATCTTGTCAACGTTTTGCTACATGCCACAGTTTCTGGTGTCTTTACTCATCTGGCTGCAATTGTGTTTTTAAGACATACTCTACCAACAATAGTTGCTGGTGTTTTATTTGCTGCACATCCTATCCACACAGAAGCAGTTGCCGGAGTTGTGGGTCGAGCAGATGTAGGAGCTTGTCTTTTTTTTCTATTATCTCTACTATTTTATATGACGTATTGTAAGTATCGGGACAAGGAACCTGAACTATATGGGTGGAGGTGGGTATATCTGTATAGTGCCCTGCTGTGGGCTGCGTGTTCCATGTTAGCGAAAGAGCACGCTATCACAGTCCTTGCCGTCTGTGCCGTGTATGATGTTCTTATCCACCATAAAGTGTCTCTGAGAGATTTACTAGGAATCCCGTTTGAGGTAAGCTTTTTGCATATGAAACTATTTGTATATATAAACAATAAATTAAGAAAATTTTTTCCCTTCTAGAAGCGATTCCAAGGTCTCCGCGAGGGACTTCTTCACCTTATTGGTGCTGTTGTGATGCTAGTGGGTTTCAGACTGCATCTAATGGGAAGTAAGCCGCCGGATTTCGCTCCGGCAGACAATCCTGCTGCCGATAATGACAGCATTGTAATAAGGACGTTAACGTTTCTTTATCTGCCTGCCTTCAATTTTTGGCTTCTGTTATGTCCAAAGTGGCTTAGTTTTGATTGGTCGATGGAGGCCATACCTGTATTCACTTCACCGAGCGATCCTAGGAATGTTTTTACTGCTTGTTTCTACGGGATGGTGATTTATGTTTTGGTGTATATACTCAGGAACCTTAACCGACGGGCACGTAATGAAAGTGCCTTCAATAACAGTCCAATGTGTCCCTGTCTGGGAATCCTCCAAAATCATAAACTTGCCTTGGCTAACAATTGTTCCAACCACAATGGCAAATACAGTAGGAAACATCCTGCGCACCTCCTTAATAATAATTATAGTCAACCGACGACCTATGCACCGTATGCTAATGGACACAGAATAACAACTTCCAATGGCCATTGTCACCCAGTGACATACAACAATGGCACAACGCAGTCGTCATCCATGTGCACATCTGATTCTTCAGATTCATCCTGTGGTGTGTCGTGGACACCTTTCAGAAGTCATTTAGAATTAGTCATTTTATCCTTAGCCTTGCTTGTACTTCCCTTTATTCCTGCCACGAATCTATTTTTCTATGTCGGGTTTGTGGTGGCCGAACGTGTTCTTTATGTACCGAGTATGGGATTTTGTCTACTGGTGGCTCTGGGTGCAGATCAGATATACAAAAGACAAGAAAGTGGTTATAAACGCAAAGCATTAATTGCAGTTATTATATTTATGATTTTGGTTTTATCCATTAGAACCGTCAGGAGAAACTATGATTGGATGAGTGAAGAAAATCTTTATAGATCCGGAATACAGATAAATCCACCAAAAGGTACGTATTAAATTTTAAACATGTAATCAAGTTTTAATTTCGTAAATAAAATTAATATTTTGTTTTCTCTTAAATGTCTACATCAAATGAGCATATACGATCAAAAGTAAACAGTAACAGTAGGGCTATCCTATAATTATCACAATGAACCTTTAATACATAATAACTTTAAAAATATAATTTTTAATGCAATCTGAAGCTTTTTTTCACTTATTATAATAAAAAGTTCTGAAAATTCTGACTTCTATTTATTTCACAATTTTATTATAAATTCGTTAATCATCTTTTAAATGTTAAAAGATAAACGATTTTATGTATAAAATTTAATAGAATAATAAGTAATAAAATTTATTAATGAGAAACAGAATTTTTGAAACGAAAGAATTCAATACAAAAAGATATATAGATTTTTAAATAGTATTTCATTACATTTTCTTTTAAAAATTATTTATTTATGTAATACTTAAAAAGTTCATTATATCTGTATAAGTATCGAAATATAGACTTAATAATATAGTAGGCATTAAGCCAGAAAACAATAAAGTCACCTCAATTTCGAAAAAAAAACGTCTCAGAAGACCCGCTCTCTCTCTTCTTTCAAGAGATATATGACCGCTATCAAATATCACTCATTGTAGATCACTTTTATCCTCATAGCGTATGGCAACCTGGCCAATATCCTTAGTGCCCAAGGCAAAAAACAAGAAGCAGAGTGGGCCTACAAAAAAGCATTAAGTTACCGTTCCAACATGGCTGACGTCCATTACAATCTGTAAGTAATTAAAAGTAAATCTTTTAATATTTTATAGATTGAAAAAGCGTAATATAGTCTACGTGTAATTATTATCTGTAAGAAACGATAAATTATAATGTAATGTTAGTTCAGCCGGTAAATAATTTTGGATCACGTGATTAATAGGCAATTTGAAATCTCTCTAGCGACAATTTTACAAAATGATGTCTGCTTTTGAAATCAGCAACTATTTATCGAATACCGATTATTCCGTAGCGATTAAATGACAGATACTTTCCATGACATTTATCAAGTGTTTGTTCGTGTGCGAGTGTCTTACAGATTACGATATTGATTTTTCTCTTGCCTCCTACCAAATTAAACATTCGTTTCTAGACGACTGTGGCATCTGTCGAGATTAATGTCCAGGTAAATAGTAAGGTTTGGATATGAGTATAGTTGTCAGAAAAATGATTTGGTAACGTAACGACTTTTACTTTTATAAATGACTCAGCCGTCTATTTATTTCTTTTAAGTATTCCCCTTTTATCCCCTTTCTTATTTTTCCAAACTTATCGATTTTTGTTTACTGCGAGCAAATCGACAGACGTTCGAACGACTCAAATTCGAGCCATGACTTACAGAATGTATTTATTGCAATCAGATCTATAATATTAACGTTACAGTAAACCGTTCATGGATAAAAATTAATTTTACGCCCGTCTAAATATTCGTGTAAACCATAGAAATTCAAATGTATGCAGTTACCAAATCTCCTACCGACTAGACTTTCAATTAGTCTACTACAAAAATACAATAAAAATAAATATAAAATATGATTTATTCGGTTAAAAAAAATCAACATTTGGCGAAAGATAAAAACTTTTTAAAGGAGTAAGGCCTGTTCGATTGATCATATTTTCTACGGTGTTACAGAAAATGGTGACCTAGTGCTGCCATCTATCGGCGACAAAATCAGCTAAACAAATGAGTTCTTTACTTTTGCAATGCCTGTATCCATTAGATTGTTTTATGATTTATTCAAAGTGATTTTTTCTTCTTTTTTTATATACTAAATTATTCCGAGTGGTTCAGATATTGAATGTATTCTTCGTTTATTAAAATTGTAAATAGTACTCCGCTATGTATCATGTTACATCAAAAATAACATTCGCTCTCGAGACCATTAGATTATGGTTTTCCTTTCATATCTGAAAAATCTTATATCTGTTTTCTTTAATAAATGATGTTTGAAATCACATTTATCTGAATTAAGCGATAAGTTTTTTTTTATGCGCTTAAATCATTTATTAATTGTATTTGCTCTAAAAGAATTATCATACCGTATACAATTAATAATTACCGGTGCAGCCAATATTTAAAGAAAATTTATTATAAGAACAAAGTTCTGTATTTCTAAATTAATATCTAAGTTTTATTTACATTACTTAAGAAATGTTTACCTTTAATTTATTTTAAGGTAAACTTTGACCCATTAAGTTCTGGTTTTGTTTATTGTTAAATAAACAAATTTAAAACAATTATTCTTAAGTCGACCAAGAAAATTTTCTAAATGGGAAAATTACTGTCGGTTCGGCTTTAGGTGAAAGAAAACCAAATAAGATTTAGATGCAAAGTTTATACAAGAGAAAAAAATATTATATAAATAGATGCAGATCATTGAGCTTTTCTTACATGTTTCTGTGACTGTATGTAATCTGTAAGATGAGTTTTACTTGAGATAAAAAAAAGAGAGTGAGTTAAAAAATTTACCTTTGTTTGAGGGAAATCCGTTTTTATGTTAAACAAACAAGAATTCGTTCTTAATTCATTAAATTTGTTCATTCGTTTTTTAATTCATATCGTTCTTAATTCATTCATTTTACTACCTACGCAATTAAAAAAAAAAGATGTTTTAAAATTAATTTTTAAATTACATTAGACATATATTATAAAGATTACTGCTAATCTTTATAATATACTTATCGATAATAACGTATTTTAAAAACTGATTAATTCTTAATTAGCGGCTTTCCGATATACTTCTAAACAAACTTTAGAAAATATAATTCATAAGCCGACACAATAACAATAATAACAAATAATAAGTAGTAAAATCGATGTGAAGCAGAAATTCAATTCGTTTCCGATTTCCAAAATTCATCTTTCCGATCAATCAACGACCGGTCACATGACTTGCCTGACGTCAGCGGCAGTTCGATACGAAAGAGATTTGTTTTCCGGATTGACGCTAATAGAAACGCCACGTGACCTTACTGACTCATCTGCGGCCGTCTGTCAACCCCTCAATTTCATCCCCTATAAACTCCATTTTCGTTCTAGAGAGGAAAAATAAAAGAAAAAAAGAAAAAAATGAATCATCCATTGATTCTCCGTCTCACAAAATAGAGTGATTAGACGATCAACTATGCGTAAATAACTTAGGTCTTTTGTGCCAGTTAATCCAACGTTTTCGTAGTTTGATGAAACGAATCTAATAACTTTCGGATATTGCTTTCCATCTCCGCCTGCTGTCAGAAAAATGTTAGATCTCTGGAGAAACGGCTAAATGTAGTGAAAAACGATGTATCCAATGAAATAGATCTTACTAACTTTAATGTTTAGATAACTTTCCTCCTTTACGTTAATAATATATATAAAAGTATGTGATCTTTTAAATTAAGGTAATATTTCTCTAGTCGATGTAAGCGTAGAATAATTGAGGATAAACACTATCCGATCGAAAGCCGTAAATGAAAGTAGTCGAGTCTTTGAACGATTGTTTCTGTGATCCATTCTATTCTAGTATCGTAATTGCGATTTAAGTAGACTTATTGCTTATATGAAATTGATAATGTTACGATTATTTTTTGGTGTTTTCTAGTGGAATTCTCTTACAAGAAATGGGCCGCTATGAGGAAGCTTTGCAAAGTTATAAATTGGCAATACAGTTCCGTCCTCGCCTCGCAAGTAAGTTAATAACGAATACTAACTAGACTTATATTATTAAAATGAATTAATTTTTCAAGAGTGTTATTTATATTCTTTTTTTTATTCAGTGGCACATCTGAATTTGGGTTTAGTACTGGGTATTTTGGGAAGGAAAGAAGAAGCGGCTGAGGTAAGCGATGCTTAAAAATATCGATCGGTTTCCTAAGCAATTTTTAATCACTCGAACGATCACGTGATGCCGATAATCGCACCGTTTCCTGATCGATTTTGCGATTAAAATTGCGGAAAAGTGGGATGTGTAAACTCGGATTAAAGAGTGCTTTTCGTGCTCCACATGACTGGGCTATCTAATTGTATACGTTTGTCACGTGATTGATCGTGCGACTAAAGTGATCAGAAAACCTGTGAGCTTAGTTATGAAGGAAATGTATTGCTCTCTAGGTTTACAGACATTGCGCTCAGTTAGACAGTACTGGACTTAAAGATCCTAAAACGCATGAAAGTACTAAAATTTCGGCGCTTTTCAATTTGGGAAGATTATTTGCTGACGAAGGAAAATATCAGGTAGGATTTTCAAACTTTTAAAAATTTATTTCTGCAAATGATTAAGTTTTCATATTTTAATAGTATTTATTGCGGAATTTTTAGAATTATACTAAAGCAATTAAACGAATTTAATTTCTGTAATGTTTACATTAGCAAGTCATTAAATTGAGAAGTTTTATTCTGCACTTAATTTTAATGACTAATCTTAATGAGATTTCAAAACCTTTAATTTTTCTGATAAAAAGGGTTTAAAGGCTAATAAGCAGTTTATCCTACGATAGATTAAGAATATTTAAGCGATTCACTGGAAAAGAACTTAAATATTCTTTTAACTTGTTTATTTTATTTCAGGACGCAATTGAAGTTTATCAAGAAGCTGTACAGAAGATGCCAGATCATTATCAACCTCAGTCTCTTTATAACATGATGGGTGCGTGTCGAGATTTATGTTTTTCAAAATTACTTAAACTTCTATATAAAAATATTAAATTACTTTTTTTAAATTTAAAGGCGAAGCATTTTTCAAGTTAACTCAATACGTAGAAGCTGAATTTTGGTACAAAGAAGCGCTTAGAGTAAAACCAGATCACATTCCAGCCCATTTAACTTACGCTAAACTATTATCTAAATGGGTAAATATGTTTAATTATGCATGTGTAACAGTTATTAATTAATAAGAGTATTAAATTTTAATACTATTTTAAAAATATTCTTAGAATCGTCAAGTAGAAGCCGAACAGTGGTTTTTAAGAGCTAAAACTTTGGCTCCTAATGATTCCAGTGTATATCAACATTACGGTAAGCGAATTATCATTTATAAATCATATATAATTTTATTCGAGTGACAAGGTTAAATTTAGACGTGTAATATATGTTTTACACAAAAAAATATAATGTTTTCGACAGCGAAACAAACTGTAAAAGAGAATAAACTGGATGGGTTAATAACATTACAAAAGTAAAACTTTTTAATTACATCTTTGAAGATAATGAGTAGTGAAAAAACTTATCAAATGCCGATAAATATTGTTGGCTTAATGATACTGTACAATGAACTAATATCTAGTCCTATCGAACCAACCGAGTTGTGAAGATAAAGGAAGAAGAGTAGACTACCTCGCTTGTAATTGCATTCCTACATGGTGACTATAGTAATTACATCTTGCAGCGGCAGATTCCTAATCACTTTGACAGTGCGGCTAGAAATTAGATGGTACAAAATTTACGGCACTACAGAGGGATATTTCATCGAATATTTTTACTATTCGGATAATTACTGACGTGTAACAACTAATAATAATTAGTTTTTTTAACGTTATCATTATTTTTAAGCATTCCCGTGATTAGATAAATACGATTTAAATTTTTAAATGTCTGCTGCTGGTTTCAGGACAATTTTTATCTGAATCCGATCGTCATACGGAAGCTGCTGAAATTTACGTCAGGGCGGCTGATCTTGCACCTGATGAATATGAAATTATTTTCAATGCTGCAAATACACTCAGGTGAGTGTTGTTTTGCGTGTTTACACTAATGTTATAAAATATAATATATATGATTTATAATCTATATTATCATCAGACAAGCTGGAAGGAATGCAGAAGCCGAGAAGTACTACCACATGGCTGTAAAATTAAGACCAAACGTGAGCAAATTTTAAATAATTATTAAATTTGCCTTTATATATTTTAAAAACAATTCAATTGTAAATTTTGCAGGAAGTTACAAGTCATATGAATTTAGGTGCAATGCTACATGTCAACGGAAAATTATTAGAAGCTGAATCTAGTTACTTGGAAGCGTTACGTTTAAAACCAGACGATCCTATAACGCAAAATAATTTACAAAAATTACGTAATTTATTAGTGCAAAAAGGCATTCGATCATCCAGTAATCAAAAACGACGATAGCAACTAAAAAACATATCATTGGAATTGAGTAATGAAACAAAATTTTTTGTGAAAATTGAAAAAAAGAGAGTCGAATCTCTATGATTGAGACTAGTCAAAAATAGACTTGTTTCTTAAAAAGAGCAATGTACCAAAAATGTCCTCTAGTCATAAGAGCCCACGAGACACACACATTCACACATGTACTGCAAAACATTACCAAATTGGGATGAGGGCAATAATTTCATTATTGAATAATTACGAGTTCTATTGGAACGATAAATACTCAGAATTATTACGTTATAGAAATGATTCAGGGTTTAGACTTTTTCTGTTTGTTTGTATTGTAATTTTTTGTAATATTTATATATTTAAATATATAAATATATAGTCTTTCAACATTGGGTAAAACACGTGTGTGTGTGTGAGTGATTCCAGATGATGTACAAAAATGAGAATGGGTACACTAAATATATTTGTACCATATCAAGTCAATTGTATTATATTAAGTTCGAAGAAGACTTGATACGATTCATCCAAGATCGAAGGAACCATTTTTTTCCTTTGTGGTGTGAGATATTGTTTCAAAAAAGTCAGCCTTACTAGAGACTTGTGGAAGTCTATACCACCAGTGGCCTTACGCCTGTGATGTCCTGTTCGCTGCAAGGCCTGTATATCTCTCAATATCTCTCTTCCTACTGTGTATGTGTTATATATCCCCATTTTATGCCTTAGATGTAGAATTTTTCCGTAAAACTAGAAATGTGTACAATTGTCAATTGGATACTTTACCTTAAAAGAAAAAAAAACAAATTTAAATTCTCGAAATACCTCCCGATTCCCGCTTAGATTTTTATTTACAATTTTATTATGGGAATAATCAATTTTGCGGGAAAGACAAAATCCACTAATGGTGGAAAGAAATTTATGAAATTCTATTTTTGTGGTAATGCCATTTTAAAGCGTGAAATATGATGCACTCTCATGTTCCCTCTTCTAAGGTCCTTCACGCATATATAACGCACGGACAAAAACAAACTTTAAACCAAGGACATTTCTTCTTCTTAATATTGCCGTTTAATATAGAAAGATTGAATCTACGATGGATTCGTTTGTGATGCGACGGATGAATGTTTTCTGGCTAACAAAATTAAAATAAAATAAAAATATATACTTACATCAGTCTATCGTCGCATCTACAAAGTTGTTTCAAGAGAGGGGGCATTCAAATCCCCCTCTTGTCTAGTATGTGATACCCGTTCAATGAATAATCTTGCAATTCTCCGACAATGTATAGTCATCCTGAAAATAAATTATGAGGAGATAAATATGTGGTTTGTCTTCTATAATCTAACTTAATAGGTCTAATTTAAAACATTAACCTTTTAAATTAGACTATTATAATCTTTAAACGATATATTAATAGGTATATAATTTCGACCTAGGACCTAATTGGCACATTATTATGATCGTCAGATTCCGTGCAAAACGGGCAAAAGTCTACCGACAAATAATGGATTACGCGATAAATGAAAAATGGGCTTTTCAAATTAGGAGAAAACATTCTTAAAATTATTAAACTTATTTGAGGTGGAGCCAACTTTACTTCTATTTCATCATTATCAATTAACATTAATATTATTTCACAGACGATTTCAATTTTGATTCACTCAGAAAACAATTTTAATTGTACAATTAAAAACATTGATATAATTTATAATTTTATTTAAAAAAAATAGAAAATTACCAAACATATTACGTTACCTGAAACTTTAGCTGATAAATATCAAATTAATTTTATACTTCTAAAGTTGAAAAAATCTGATTATAAGAAAACAAAAAATAAAAAAAATTAAGAATGCTTTTCAAAATAATAAATATCAAATATACAAACAAAAATAAATAAATTCAAATAGGAATTTAAGAATGTCTTTGCAGACTTTAATACTGAAAAAAATTATAATAAAACGGAAAAAATATATATATATGGCTTCGGTCGTATGTAATCATCTCATTACTTCCTCACCGTATGACTATAGCAATAACAGACGTATATCATCGATCAAATTGTACTGATTTTGTGGTAAACACGACAAACTTTATAACATGACATGGATTGAAAAATTGTTTTGTTTCATCTTTTCCTCAAAATAGAAAATCTACTTCTGTATTAGTTATTGAATTTATTTTTGTTTTATGGAGTCAATTTTGTAAATCTTGTGTACAGCTTGTCAATTTAAATGATGAGTTATCTTACTTGTAATGCGAAAATGCATCCGTCGTAATTGTTATGATGTTTTTCTAATGTATATAAATATATATTTACAAGCTACTTTCAGTATACTTATTCATCTAATCTTTTCTTCTAAATTAATTTATATTTGATTATCTAGAAGAAAGAAGATGAAATTATTCTAGACAAATAAAAAGTTATATCAAATATATTGCATAAAAATTATAAAACATATTATCAATATATTATTCTTTATTTTGAAAGCAATTTAAACAATATAATTATTTCTCATCAATAAAATCTCATCTAATAATATTGTTATCTCCGAGTATCGTCGAAATTAGAATAAAACTGAAATCGCGAATATCTTCAACTGGAACCCATGTTATTAAATTCAGTTGATTCATTATCTGAAATAAAAACACAATTATTATCATCTAAAAAATAAGTAAAACGAAAATAAAAGTTTTACCTGTTCATACATTCGAGGATCATTAAAATAACTTGAAGCTGCAATTAAAGCTGTTGTTAATAATAAATAATCGTTTTTAACAGTTCTGAATTCGTCCCTGAAATAATGATAAATATATAAATATGTTGATAAAATATACAGCCTATATATATATATATATCTGTTGAATGAAAGAGAGAATTTTATTAGTCTACTTAACCGTTTAGTTGGCGTAGTTACAATTTCAGTTTCTCCAGTTGCCAAAATATATAAACGCTGATAAATAACATGACGGCAGATATATGTAAAATCAATCAAATAAATACCAGTTATATATAAATTTTCTACATTGATGGAAGGATTATTATACGCAAGTATTTCCAATAACGATTCCATATATACGAGTGGAGAAAGGTAATTTAACCTGTAATCTAGTGTTTTTAAAATTCTCAATTCTGAATTAAGAAGACTTTGGAAGCTGTAAATGTAACCAAATTCTTGCAACGTTTCCTTTATTTTATCAGGACTGAGTGACTAAAAAAAAAAAGAAATTATATTAACTATTTAAATTAAAAATTCAAATTCATTTAAAACACATAACTAACCTGATAATGAGAATTAAATTTACTCGCCAATTGCATACAAGACAATATTCTTAAGATTAATTGATTCTGTATTCTACTTTCCACTTCGTGCCATTTCAAAGATTGTTTCTTTTGCTTATTACGTTCCTCTACTTCAGCGTATAAATCCTCGACGTGCTTTATAAGAAATCTAAATTTCGAAATAAAAAACGCATTTATTATTTTACATACGAAAATTTCATGTTGAAGTATTATAAAATAAAATGACAGTTTTTTTAAAGAAAATTCTTTGACCTCAGCCTGAATTGCTAACAAAAAGAAAAAAAAACACATTTACATACGGCTAACCATTAAGAAACGATCTATTCCTTTAAAAATCAGTCATTACTAAGAAAATGTTTTTGGATAAGTAGATTACGAGAAGACACTTTTCCATATAACGACGTGATAGTATGCAAGATTTGACGTGTTGTTCTCAAATGAAGGGTAAAGACGAATGGAGGTAAAATGTCGATCGTGCATCCCGTCTCTGGCAGATGTTTCTAACTTCAACGTCTGAGAGTCGCTAGATAACCATTCTTCACAGTATTGATCTACCAACACTCGGCTATAAATGTCAAAAGGGATGGACGTCGTCATCTACATTCAGTCTCCTACTCTAATTGTTCTTAGTTGAAGATAAACGATTTATACCAAGTTAAAAGAAACATAAATCTAAAGAATAGAAGCCTATAAGCCAAGCAATAAACCCGACATAATCGAAAAAATAAATTCAGAGATTTTCCCGATTATGAGCGTATTATAATGATTTTTGCTTAAAAATAAGAAAATTTTTAAATAGATAAAATATATAAATTGAGTTTTTCAATAAAAATATAATTAATTAAATCAGAAAATAATGTTTATTGAATCATATAAAAATATACATACCGATCGAAAATCTCCAAAGTCAAATATTTTACTTCCAAAGGCTGCTGTAATTTTTCACATAAATTGAACACCAATTCAACTGCTTTACTATTAATAGTAAAATCCTGGAAATAAAAATGTTTTAGTATTAAAACCTTATTCAATATGTACTTAAATTGCTAAAAATGGGGGGATGAAAATATAGTTACACGTTGATTCGTAGCGCCATCTGTTATTAAAACTACGCTGTAAAATATTTATATTTATTAAAATAATTAAATTAGCAGTTAAATTTATTTTTTATATTATTCGTTATTTTAATATTACACTTCAGAATTATTTAATCTTTTGAAACTATTATCAAAATAGAAAATTAGAAACTTCACAACATTCAATTTTTAATATGCTCTACAATACTAGAATTATTTGATGCAGGCGTTTATTAAAAGCTGCTTTTTTTAAACAAATTAAATCACGCAAGAATAAGCATTTTTAATTTGTTTTATTAGTTTCTTGTAAGCTCTGTGAAGAAAGTTTTATGATATTTAATCATTTAATCAAATTTTAATAGAGATAAACATCTAAAAGTGTCATAAAAATATTTGTTTTTCTTTCAAATGAAATAAAATTGAATTATTTCGAAGTGAAATTTTGTTACAAAAGATATTTTAAAAGTAATTTCAAGGAAAAAATCCACGTCCTGTAGAATTGAATGACAGAAATATAAACAAGATCGTGTCAAGTAAGACTTGACAAGGTTTAGAATATTTTGTTACCTCATATATTGTACAAGACTGCATTTCGAAATCCTAAAGTTTATAAAACATTGTAGTATTTTGAGTGATGTATGTAAATAAAATCGAAAATATAATATTTACGATTTAAATTGAAGATTTACGACTTTAACTGCAAAGAAAGAAATGAAAATAGCACAGAGAGAAAAACAGAAATGCATTTTCTTTTATGTTATTTTCCTAATGTTTACTTATTAGATTACTCCATTCTCGTTTGCTCTCATTTCTCATTAAAACTAAAAAAAAAAATAGAGACATTAGTATTAATTAATGATATTAAACTTCATTTCGAATACTCGAAATGTAACTAAAACACTAAACTTAATGGACGTATTGCGCGATTGCATAATGTCTGAGTAAATGTGACAATGGCATTTAAATATATGTAAAGTTTAGACGAAATGGTTTATTAGATGATATCTTTAATGTACGAGATTAAGAATCTATGCAAATATACATATAATAATCTCATTAAATGTATAAATAACTTATATTTCATATTATTATTCATTTATTTCACAAACATTAACTTACATGAAATTGCATCCAATTAAAATATAATTTTCATTTTATATAAAGCACATTTTACTTTAACATTATAGAGTCTAAATAAAACTTTATTTTATAGTTTACATATATTTCTATTTAATAAAGTAATATTTTTAAAACAATTTTGTTCTTATAGTTTATTTATATAGTCCATTATTTTAAATTATGGCTATAAGATCATTTGTAATTTTATTGTTTTTTAATACACTCCAGCATGCAGCACTGACAGTATATATTATATTGAGCTTGATTCCAACTACTCTTTAACATTTGAGCATTACAACAATTGAACTACATTTGTAAATACAGATATATATTATCTAAATAAGACTAACTGTGTGACCACATTAATGGAATTTATATTATTTATTCTATCCAACCCTACTATTCAGATTGCAGGTGGAACCCATCTGCAATCTGAATTATAAACTTAGGATTTCACACATTTTAATGACACAAAATCTATAAGTGTTTGTATATTAAATAACATAAATATAATATGTGTATAATTTTATCACCATTATCTGTTATATGGTAAGATCATTATATACTAATAATCAATTCTGGATGCAATTTTAAAATAAGTGATTAAGTCATATTTTCTTATATTATAGTAACTGTAGAGTAACTGATTTTGTCATAAAAATAGTTCCTACATAGCTAATTACCTATACAGGAACTGTTTTTATGACAAAATCAGTTTCTGTAAATAACTCCATTAACAATCAACTGTAAATCCATATTCATGATAATGATCTAAATGGCAATGCAAAAATATGTCTGACTGATCTCATAGGTAGATTAGTCTCCATCTAATAACATTTCATTTAAATTACATGTTCCGTACTTAGAATTTGGCAGAAATCTGCCGAATAAGAAGTCTATCGCATCGTATATTTTATTTTTATTTATTCAGCTGAGAAATGTTTTTACTCGCGACGTTTCCTCAATGCAGACATTTTACCAATTCAGTTCAGGCCATTTTAGTATTATTCTTCGTTTTTCTGAAAAATGTGAATCAATGGCAAATTATAGATAAGTTATATTTCAAAGTTTCTTCTCAAATTTAATTTATTCATTACTTTGAATATTTTTAGAGTAGACTACTCAGAATTAGGTAAAAATTGAAATAATGAATTTTCAGGTTTCTTTCGCTATCAATTATTCAAATAGCTGGCAAATAAACATCAACGATTTTATCCCGTGAAGGATTCTAACATGATTCTACTGGAATTTTCGATTTTTTCCATGGTTATTTCAGATCAGATCTTTATTTCTCACTCTTCACTATATTCCTCCAATATATGCACACTCTTTTGTAATATGAAAAATTGAAAATTTAAGCCACATAGTCCACAGTTTACGATTAATGTATCATAAAACAAAGTCAAATCTAATTATAAACAGTACATTTTAAAATATTTTAAATAAAGTCCATTCTCTAGAAACAACACTAAAGTGTTTCTGGTACAATCGAGTAATATCATAATGAAAACGGGCGATTGCCAAGACTGCTTCCGATTACACTTTGTAAAGAATATTTGTGCATCTTTGCTAAGGTAATGTCTTTACATTCATCGAAAATATCATGAAAAGTGAATTTAAAAGAGTACCCATCCCACAAACAGTTGTACAGTACATATACCTCATATAGCTGTATGTGTTATACGTATCTAACGTTGATCCATATTACTCCCCATCTACGCCTTCTTATTTTTGATAGGAGCCCATTGTTCGAAATCCCGATATAGATTTCGAACAATCCACGAAACAGATTGCTTACATTCAAATATAGGCCTATACATAAATAATACTGTATTTTTTCAAGATAGAATAAAAAGTACTGTACATTTCTGCAACTACAAATATAAAAATGGAAGCATATACAAGAAATTTAAAAAATGCGTTCTTCATGATCATCAATGATTATCAAAAATCTCCGCTTAGCACAATAGTCATTAAGGATTATCTCGTTGCATTTCAAGATAAACCATTAACCATAGCTTGAATTAACGAAGTACATTTCCAAAATATAGCTGTATATTATTAGTACCAATGTTTAGGAGGATAATTATCATTTGATCCTCCCAAACATCGTGCAATTTTATCGGAAGGCTGTTTTTCAATAAAATCACGCTTTCTCTGTAATAATGCACAATTCCAATAATGAATCATATATATACAGTAGAGCGTCGATTTTCCGAAAGTCAATCATCCGAAACGTCAATCATCCGAAAGAATTCCAGTCGGCAAATTTAAATTTTCGCCAGTGCTGTGGCGCTTCAATCTTTGGCTATGTCTTGGGCTACTCAAATATTTTACGTTTTTGTTACTAAATTAACATCTGAAGTATAATTTTTTATTGTTTTTATATTTTTCAATATATTTATTTTGTTC